TTTCACCAGATAATTAAATTAATATTTAATAATTATTTTAATTTATAATATTTAAAAAAATGTATTGAACAATGACATATATAATACCTAAACTGACGATTCATTCATTAAAAGTGTACATCAATGCAAATCAGTGGTTACACTAATCATTATTAAAATTTTAAACGAGAGCCTAATTTATTCCTATATCTGATGCAAACTATTAAAGAATTACCTGATCATCGAGATAATAAGGAAGCAAGTTATCAATTTATTAGTAGTTTTTAACGTAAGAATAATAACTATATGTGTTACCAAAATGGCGGGTCCAGCTGATTTGCTTTTAACGACGCTTGAAAATGCATTTTAATGAATGAATCGTCAGTCTAGGTATTATATATGTCATTGGTATTGAACATATTTAGATTTTATGCCAATTTTTTTAAAAAAATTCGAGGCCCCCAAATTTGTAAAATCTTGAGGCCCTTGGGAGATTTTCCCACTAGGCTTACTGGCCAGTCTGCCCCTGATCTGCAGAATATAATGTGAGTCAAAAAATGTATGGCAGTGAAATATTTTTCTTTATATGCAAGGTCAACCATTTCATCTAAAATCTTCTAGAGTTGCTGTAATAGCATAATTTAAAGGGGGCAAGATAGGATTTAATTTTATTTATTCTCATTTTTTAGTGTTGTTAATTGCTTTTAGAAAGTACAAGTTGCATTTAAAAAGGGTAGCCAGTTGCAGTTACTAGTTATAGTAATTGGTTAGTTATATTTCTAAAGAGTGTCACAATGAGGAGATTTGTCATTGTGAATCAAAACCTAAATATAAAAAGAAATTAATAATAATTAGGAATGTTGAAAGTAAGGCTTTTGAGACCTAAAATAAAAAAAGAAAATATATATATATATAAAAAGAAATTAATAATAATTAGGAATCACGAAATCATGAAATCAATTTATCTCTTTATTCAAAATTATAACATTATCAAATTAACAAAATTATATAAGTAAAAATAATAAAAAAGATTAATAAAAAATAAAATACAAAAAAGTTAATAATTATAAAAGATCATTTTGTATGGTAAAAATTGGCCTTTTTATACTCTTTTCAATCTTCTTATAACTAATATTCATAACTATTCAAATATAATATTTTTATCACGTGTTATAATAATAAATCCAAAAGAATTCTTTATGCAAATTAAATATAAAGTACAACAAAATCCAAAAGAATTCTTTATGCAAATTAAATCTAACATTTACAACACCTCCCTACTTAAATTAGACCCAACATTCTGCGAATAATCAATCTTCTTTCGATCTCGACTTATTCTTCTTAATCTTTGATGTCTTCTAAGTTCTAACGAAGGCTGACTCTTGTCTAGTATTCTTAGTTTCGAACGACCGTTTGTATCCGATTGTCGCTTGAAATTTTTGGATTCTATCTTCTGTCGCTTGTCACCCTGTGAAACGATCAGCTTTTTATCTCTGTAGGCCACTGCGAACTTGATACACGCCTGTTTTCCACTATCCACGATTGATGAACGATTATCGATGACATCCAGTTTCTTTTCCTCTCTTGTTTTTTGCTAGTCTGTCTTAATCTTTTTTACAATTTATCGTAGCTTGTTTCCTATCATTCTCTTGTAATCGATTGGTTGTTGCCTCTAATTCTTGTAATCGTATCTATCTTTTAGACTTCCGGGTCTTCTACGACAGTTTGCCCTTGCTGAGATATCGGGTAATCACATCTAATCTACTTCTACCTAAAATAATCTATTTAAATAACTTCTGAAATATTTTATCACTTTTTATATTTATTCTCAAATATAAACTACCTAATACAATTATACTAATAAAATATATAAATATACCAACTTCATCCTAATGTCTACATTTATCTCCTCTAATCTAATTCTGCCTTTAATAAATGGCGTAAATTATACTAAATCTTACATTTATAATACGTAACAAAAATATATATAATAAATTATAAAAATATATCAAATTCTATCACCCCTCTCCCCTTAATGAAGCCTAGACCCATATTTTCATTGAAAAATTTACTTGTACTCATCCTTTAGCTATTGATCCTCATCTTCTTTTCAGCCATGTCTATACTAAATTTATATCTAAAAATCCTATTCTAAAATATATATCAAAATCTATCTTTTAAAAAAATTATCATTGTGTATTTATTTCCTCATGTACTCTTTGACACTCAAGTCTTTAAAAAAAAACTGCTGAAATATATAAATCTCTTTTCATACATACCTTGTTGAGAAATCAATGACATCTAATATAAAAGTTTTCATACTAACGTTTATGAACAACCCTTTAACTCTAATCACTATGGTTTTCACCCCACGTCTTTGAAGAACTTACGAACTCTAATCATTATAATTTTTCGCACAACCGTTCTTGAAAACTGATATGTATATTTCTTAAGCATGTTTTTCTTTCTGTTATTATTAGAATAATGTTCCATAATTGATCTCAAATCTTATTTATGATTCAAAAAAATAAAAATCCGATCTCTAATTGAGCTCGATTGCGGCATATCTAATGACGAAAGCCGTTTCTCTTTATGAAGATTTTTGGTTAATCTACAACCTAATATACTACATTCACATTAATCCTTGAGGCTGTTTTATCTCTCACAGCCCTTAAAATAAAAGTTAAACGTAAATCTTCAATAAGAATTTTATCAACTATTTCCTAACAATAAATTTATATTCTACTCTTATTCACCGAATTTTTAAATTATTATATCTTAGCAAACTATTAGTTTAATATTAACTTTCGCAATTTCTTTTTCTTTGTCATAGTTATTTCTAGTAATGGTTTTTAGTTTACCAGTAACTTCTAAATATAAAATTCCTAATTATCACCTTTAAATAACTAAACACAATTATATCTTATCTACTATGAATACCTTTGTCTTTAATTTTAGATTTTATATTCCTACATAAACCTAATCTTATCAAAATAATTTCTCTTTTTCAACCTACATTTTAAATATCATCTTGTCAAATTCATATTTTTCTTACCCCTTTTCCGTTTTGAATTTCTTTCTTTTGTATGGAGTTTGGTTGGCATTAGACTGAAAGTTGTAATGGTCCTGTCGCCTCCTCTCTTTAACACCATTGTCACAATGAGGAGATTTGTCATTGTGAATCAAAACCTAAATATAAAAAGAAATTAATAATAATTAGGAATGTTTAAAGTAAGGCTTTTGAGACCTAAAATAAAAAAAGAAAACAAATATATATATAAAAAGAAATTAATAATAATTAGGAATCACGAAATCATGAAATCAATTTATCTCTTTATTCAAAATTATAACATTATCAAATTAACAAAATTATAAAAGTAAAAATAATAAAAAAGATTAATAAAAAATAAAATTAAAAAAATAAAATACAAAAAAGTTAATAATTATAAAAGATCATTTTGTATGGTAAAAATTGGCCTTTTTATACTCTTTTCAATCTTCTTATAACTATATTCATAACTATTCAAATATAATATTTTTATCACGCGTTATAATAATAAATCCAAAAGAATTTTTTATGCAAATTAAATATAAAGTACAACAAAATCCAAAAGAATTCTTTATGCAAATTAAATCTAACATTTACAACAATGAGTTTTTTAAAAAAATTGTCTTTACCTCCATTCATATATAGCAGAAACCTGCAAGCTCCGAACTCTGTTCGAAAAGGTCCAAAAAATGGCATGATCTTGAAAATTCGGAATCATGTATAAAAGAAAAAATCCGGATTTAGCTAAGTTTATTTAAAAAGTATACATCAATTAATTAATCAGTTCCAAATTGTTGAAAAAAGATATATGGCTTTATTATTCATTTACTGCTCATATTTCAATTTCCCCAGCAATCAAAATATTTTTGAACTTACAGGTCAGGTCAGGCCGTAAACGATCAAAATTAAAAATCTGGAAGGCCAAAAAATTATGGGATGTTTGATAGTAATTAAATCCGAGCTTGCCATAATATTTAGACCTCCGGGTCTCTGGTATATATTTTTAAAGCTCTGTACTGATCGATTGAGTCCGATATGAACAGGTCAGATATTCTCTGGGACTTGGTGTGATTCGGATTTTATTTTAAAATTTATTTTGGTCCAAACTCGGACCTCGACAATATTTTAAATGATCTTGATTTCCTAATGTTTTTTAGAATATTATTTTTAAGAATAATATCAAATTTTTTTTTATTGTCCTTCAACGCTTATAATTTTCTACTTTCATTGAAATATCGTACTTTTTCCTCAGATGAATAAAAAAAATTTTATAAAAAAAAATTTGGACTCGGATTCTTGAAAAAAAATACTGGCATTGGGTTGATTGGGCAAGAATTTTTAAATTTTTTCTCGGATTAGGACGGACCTGAAAAATAGGCTTATTGCAGGGCTTTAATATATACGAAATATTGGTGATAATGAAAATTATCAGTTTCCAAATTGACTTAGATGTCAGTTTTGCAAGAAATTATTTCTTCGGGGTAGTTTTGCATTTACAGTAGAGATCTGCAAAGTTAAGCCGGCCTAATTCTATTTAAAATAATCGGGTTCGGGCCGGGCCTAATATTTTTAAGAAAAATTTGGGCCAGGTCGGGTCGGACCTTGGAATTTTTTTTAAATATATCTAAATTTATCAATTTTATATTAAATTTTATATTTAAAATAAAAATATTTGATTTTATTTATTGAAATTAAACGACATATAACATATGTCTTTTATTTTAAGTAATTATAAAAATGAATTTCTATATTTAAATAAATTCGAGCCGCTCCGGGTCGATAAATTTTTTAAAAAAAATTTCGGGTTCGGGCCGGGCCTGCAAAACTTTTTAAAAAAATTTCGGGCTGGGCCGGGCTTGAAAAATTAGGCCCGATGCAGATCACTAATTTACAGGCCTCTATAAGTAATTTTTTTAAAGATTATAATTTTAAAGAAAACTGATTAATTCTTATTATTTAACACTCACGAAAGATATGCTGTCCACAATTATGGCTTAGCTTTTTCACTCAAGAAACAAAATTCTCAAATAGCCAATATCCGTACCTACCCAAGTTTAACACCTATTGATGCGATCCGCAACCTCTACGGTCATATAGTGGCCCAGGACCTGATTCAGGTCAAGATTTTACTGTATAAACCTTTAAAATTACGTATTATATACTATTTATTAAATTATTGATATATTTAAAAAGGAAACAACTAAAGTTAATTTATAACTAAAGTCTGAAATCGTTATTACAGGCTAAATTGTTTTATATCCTTTTTAATATAGGAACCCATCTTTTTATATTTATTTGTTAACTTGAGATTGATCGTGATGTTTTAATAGATAATCAGAGCAAATTTTAAAAAAGATAAAAAAAATTTAAAAGATATATACTTCTTTAACATATTAAAATAGATTTAACCATAGACAAGTTGCGTTGCAGTATATTTTAGCTTACCATTCTACTGAGCCTTGCCAATAGCAAATTCTAATTAATTATTTTTATTTTTGTTGCGTTTTAACATCTATAAACTAGCATCGGATCCATGAAATTGGCCGAACTATTGGAAGCAATATTTTGAAACTTTTGATAAGTATAGTAACCATTTAAAAAGGAAAAAGTTAACAAGAATTAAAATTTTGGCTAACTCTACTCATAAAAATTAACTTGAAAGCATTGATTCAGAAAATTTATCTTAATATTTAGTGCTTCAATGTTTAGCAAGACAGTATAAAATATATAGAAAGATAAAACCTGTTAGCAAAATAATAAAAAATTGGCATCATGTTCATATCAAAACTGGAAATATAGGTGTACTAAATATTTAAAATTAATTATCAAAATAAGTTTTTGATGAATGATTATATTAGAATAAAAATTCTAAAATTTTTTGTGTAAAGAAGATTAAAAATTAAATAGCAATAGGACCATAATATCCAAAAATGTGTGAATTTTTACAGAAATTAAGTTTAGTATAAAATTGGAGGCTACTGAAAGCACATTTGGAATATAATAAAAATTTAAAACCCAAGGGTTAAGAGTAATTTTTGGTATTATCACCTTATCACAAATTCTATATTTTAATTCCAATTTATAATTGTCTTTTTCTTTTAGATCACCCATTCCGACCCCACTGGCTATCGTTTTGAGTTGGTAGCTTATCTAACCAATCCAGCCGTCAATAAATTCAACAAACAGAACATCAACAAATTGATAAACCTTAAAAATAACGCTAGTGTTACTGCTCTTGATTACAATCTTCCCACAACATCTTCCAAATTTTTGTTGTTCATCAATAACAGGTGCGTAAATTGTGTCGAGTTAAAGAAAGCATTAGACAGTGTTTATCAAGAATGCGTGGGAGACAAATATTCGAAGTACAATTTAACCGACGTTGATTGTGATAAGCAGGAAAGGGCGCTTAATTACTTTGCCTACATTGATCTCAAGGTAATTTATTTTATAATTTAAAAAAAAATAGAAGTTAATGCAATACATTGAAATTCATAAGATTATTATTCAGGATATTGTTTTTTTTGTCCAAACTAAAGCGGTTACTGAGGGGATGTCTAGCTATTCATATTCTCGTTTTAGAAAAAGAAAGAAATTATTGTTTTAAGATGATAATTCGAATATTAATATAGAACTCACTATTATATAATTTTTTTTATTTCCAAGCAAATAAATCAAAACATTTTTATAATTCCAATCTTTTGGCGCTATTTAATTTAGTTATGTTTTAATTTTCTGAACCTTAAACTTTTTTCTATATCTTAAAAGCAAGCAATAAAATCTCTTTTATTATAATATAATCACGATTTGAAACCATTTTGTTTTATATATTAATTATAATTTTTCCAAGGGAGTCAATTATTTTCTTTTTATAACCAAACACATTCATTTTTCATTCATCCTATTATGTGGAACGAGAACCTAAAACCCTTTAAAATTTAGAAAAAACCAAAACCCTGCTTGAAATTTCCAGGCGCTGCCTTTGGAACCGATTTTAACAATAGTGCAATCAATTTTATTGTCTTGATTTTTTTCATATGGTTTGTAACTGGAATTAGAACCTGGAACCCTAGGAACAAAATTTAAGAACTAGAACTCACTTTTCATATTTTAAAAACATTTACCACTAAGAAAAAGATTTATAACCGATACTAGTACTCTTTTTGGTCCAGGCTTATAAACTGAATATAATGCTAAATTTTTAAAATTTTAGAACAGAAACTAGTACTCTTTTTGGTCCAGGCTTCCAAACTGAATAATAATAAATTTTTAAAAATTTCATGGAAAGTTTTAAAATCTAAATCTTTATAATTTTTTAGCCCCTGAGCCAAACCACAGATAACAGTTTGGGTCTTTGATTTTTTTTACTGAACAAATTAATTTTTAAAATTTAATTTGGAAATATTTACTATTCTTGACAAAAATTTTATCATTATTTTATTCTAGATTGACCCTCAAAATATAGATGTTAACCTACACCCTACTAAAAGTCAAGTGTGCTTTTTACACCAAGACAAAATAATATCTGTGATCAAAAAAATTGTCGAAAAACAATTTTTCCCTGAAGACTTAAAAATAGAGTCCTCAAAGATCTTGAAAAGTTGTTCAGCTTTGAAACTCAAATCACCTGACGATTCGATGCCAAATAAAAATGACTCATTATTAAAGGATTACGGCTTCAAATCTATCTCCAATTCAGTTAAAGATTTTTTATAATCTCAGATAATTGTATTGAAATACTATAAGAGATATGACAGAATGGGAGTGTGAACAAAATCTTATAAAGTGACCACCTCTCTTATCAAATTATTTTTTTGTTTTTGAATTATATTTACAGAGCACACTTATTAGCGAAGAGTCCATTAATATGCCCACGAGCGTCAATAATCACAGTAATAAATACCTAAATAGGACAGATCACACAAGCCAAAAGTTGGATTTTTTTCTCAGACCTAAAGATTCTCCAATACCTACTCTTTCTGATGATAATAATAATCAACCTAAGAAAGATACAGTAATTAATATTACTTTTTAAAAAAAATCACATTAATACACCGAGTTGTTTATTACTTCCGCTTCATATTTCATTAATCTTTTATTAAGGGTTAAAGTATTATATATAAGTAGAAGTGTAATCCTACCATTATCTAATATTTAGAAAACATTGGACCAATCCAATGTTATTGATATCGGTATATTCCCCCCCCCCTTTACCTATCTTATTATAAATAATGTTAAAAAAATATTGATATGTATGTTCAATTTTTAGAAATTAATCATGTATATTAAATAAATACCATTTTTAAATACTATATATTTTGATTGAATATATCATTAGAAATGTTAAATCGGATACATAATAAGTCTATTTTTTTTATTTATAACTCTTAAAACTTGATAAATTTGAATTTTAGGGAAATATTTTAACTCAGGGACCTGGAACTCTATTCCAGTTCGTTTAAAATTAAAAAATTTTTTTACCACTTCCGTATCTAAGATCAAATATATTCAGTTCTGAAATAATCGGAGCAGTGACTGTAGGCAGTTCAACCGACGGGGAGAGGGACGGATCGACTCAGTTCGTTGGTCCGGAATTTTTAGAGAGGGTGACTGGAGGACCAGATATAACGGGCATTTTGGTCATTGTATTAAACACTACCAAATAAAAAAAGAGGGTAAACACCATCGGTATTTCATTATAAGTCGACCGCAGTAACTCAATGGGTCGTTTACATAACCGTGACCGCTGCACCGCAAGTTCAGTGCGGATTTAATTTAGTTAACTCAAAAAAATATATGGAACGGATTGCTCCACATCACAGGATTAGTGCGGATTTACCACCTAAGTTGAAAAATATCGAACGGCAATCGCCGCACCGCTGGATTAAAGCGGATTTAAGTTCACAATTAATTAAATTGTTGAACGGCTTTTGCCGCACCGCTTGATTAGGGCGGATTTAAGTCCTAATTAATTTGATAAATAAGGAACGACATACGCAGCACTGCAGGATCAGTGCGGATTTAAAACTTTAGTTGACTAAAAATATACATGAAACGGCATTCCCCGCACTGCAGGATTAGTTCGGATTTAACATTTACCTAATTGGGTCGATTGTATATGGGGTAAGTAAAATCTAGTCTTAAATGATTTATTGATAGTAAGTAAAACAAATTTTTCGTCATAGTTTACATAAAAAATTAATGGTCACGATTACATAATTATCGCCTATATATATATATACCAAAAGTGGGTTGACAACAACTATTGTTCTTGCCATAAAAGAAATAACTATTTTCACAATAAAGTACTATTATAAAAGGGTTTCATTGGCCATCCTTAAATCTGGCTTGGACCAGTTTCAAGTGGCTTTTGATCGAGAGGAAAACACAAAAAAATCATAACAAGGTTTTTACATTTTAATATTTTGCATAATGAAAAGATTAGTGTTGTTAAACGACTCAGCCGAGTTGGCTTAACTACGACTCAGGTTGAGTTTTTAGTCAAAAAATCGACTCATTTTTACGACTCGAGTTATGAACTTGAGTCGTAAACTCAAGTCGCGACTGGAGTTATGAGTCGTGAACTTTTTATAAAAATATATTATATTTATTTTTAATTTTTATAGGTAATAATGGCGATTTAAGATATTTTGTTTTAAAATATACAACCTGGCCTGGATATTTAAAAAAATTTTTTTAGACCCGATGTAACGTGTGAATGATCTGTGAGATTTCGAAATCTCACACCATAAAAATCCCACGGATGGGTTGTGAGATTTTGATTTAAATGGCCCCCAATGTTTTTGAAGCGATAAATTAAAAGTAAAAATTTTCATGACAAGTATATAAAATTACTAATATAATATAGTGACAATAATTATATACCCCTAACTGTCTAATTATAATCTTTGATTGCTTTGCAAGATATATTTGTTTCATTTCAAGAGTTCATTTGTATTTTTAGATTAATAAGTCGAATACTGGGATATATCAAATAAATAAACACCATTAAGCAATAAAGTAAAGGATTTATATAATTTCTATTTTTAATATATATAAATTAAATTGCATATAATTGAATAGTCAATTATTTATAATTATATACAAATAAACTTGAATATTATAATTATGTAGAGTAGTCTTATTGGTTATATGTTATACTACCTACCTACAAAATCTTGGTTCGAAGCCCCGTACATACCTTTTTTTTAAATTGAATATCTGATTCTTTTGTTCTTTTTATTTTTCACAAAATTCGGCATATCTTATAAACCTATGATCTAGTCTGTATTTTATATTTTTAGTCTGTATTTCATACCAAAGAGTGGGGGTGATATGGTTCAGATTATTTTAGGCTATGTGGGTTGCCTTGGCAATATATGAATATTATTTAATTTATTATTTGTAAAGGAAGTAAAAATATCCTTACTAATATTCTAATTTACACAATATGAAATTTATATAATATAAAACAAATTTAAGTTTAAATAGGTCCAAAACCAAAGACTACAATCTCATAACTATCCAGATTTGACCTTTCCTCAGATTTCCTATATCAATATTAATTTATGATACCTCACTTTTCTACCCTACCCTCTAAAAATCATTACCTACCCCTTTTAAATAATGCTAAGAAATGATAAGATAAATTCTTAACTTAAATGACTTAATCATAATGCTTATTTTGTTTACCTAATATAATATTTTTTTAAAAAATCCATCTCTATATTATTTTATACTTAGATTTGAATTAGGTCACATAAACTAATAAGCAAATAGACGAAGAACTTTATTGATATAACTATTTATCATATAATGCACATTTTAATGTATATATAGAATTTTATTTATAAACTACAACGTTCATAAAAAAACTATATCAGCTGAATATAAATTATAATATGAATGAAATATATATATTTTTATAATAAAAATTATTTGATCCTAATAAGGAAATATTGAATAATGACTAGATGGATGATAAATTATTGCAAAAATATATATTATGAGGAATATAAATTATAATAATGAAGTATTTATATTTTTATAATAAAAATTATTTAACACTAATAAAGATGTATTAAAATATGATTAGAGCTAAGATAAATGATTGCAATCAAAAACATTTTCAAAATGGTTTCCTCCATTTTTTATATAAATAAAATTATTATAAAATTTTTTAATATTATCGCGAATATAAAATGGGTCATATCGGGCCCATACAAAGTTATTATTATATTTTAAATATGTAAAAATAGGAGTATTAAGCATTGTGGCCATAGCCCTGACTTCTGTGTCAGAAGCCCAAATCCGTCCTGCCATAACATTATTTACGATATACGTTTTTATATCCATTTTTTTATTTGTGTCATAAATGTAATTCTGAATTACTTTTTCCATCTCAAATGTTAGCATAAATTGTGCCAACCATTGCCTGAGAATAATTTGGGAATTTTGAGCCCCTGTGATATCCACACTAATCGCCTTAAATTTTATAAAGTAGAATAAAATGAATTTTTATAAAGTAGAATAAAATGAAATTTTATATTAATATGTTCTACCTATAAAAACAATTCCCATCACCTTCAATTTGCCCCAAGATAGTTGGTTCACCAAGTTGTTTACCCTAGTCTACATCCCGACAATGTTTGGGAGGCTTTAGAGCATATATTTTGGCATGATATTTTTTCCATGCTTTTGTTGTAGGAAAAAAATATCTAGGGATATTTTCTAATTTATTTATTTTGGCATGTCGGTCAATTGACCGGTCAAATACGGTCAAATACTCTAAAATATTAATGACGAATAAATATTTTGATATAATTAACTAGTATGCATTAAAAGCATGTTATATTATATTTATAATATTAAGAAATTATTGGAATAATTGGTCGATAATTATAAAATAGTTAAGATTGATTAACTTTACAATAATCAAAATCATTTTTTGTTAAATTTTAATATATTAGGGATTATGGTCAAACCAAAGCATCATGTTTGGAAACATTTTCAAGAAGTACGCGATGGTAAATCAGTTAAAGCGGTGTGCAAGTTTTGCAAGATGTCCTATATCACCCACGTTGATAGAATGGTCAAACATTTATTAAGCAGCTGTACTATGTGCCCTGTTATAATTAAGGAAAAATTTTATTCAAATTCCAAAATATCAACCTCTACAAAAAATATCACAAATGTAATTTGTAATACTTCTAAGTCTAACTCTAATGAAGAATTGGGTGAAATTAGTGAGAATGATTATCAAATGAACAATATTTTGTCTTGTGACTCAGGAGAATTTGATTCCATTATTTCTAATCAATCTACAAGCAAGGCGATTAAATATAAATCTCAATCTTGTATAACCGGTTTCATAGATAGAATTAATCCCAAAGAAAAAAATGAGCTGGATCAATTGTTTGCAAAGGCTGTATATGCGAGCAATTTACCTTTCCACATCACTGAAAATCCCTACATCCAAGAATTTTTAAAAAAAATACGTCCTATTTACACATTACCCGGGAGAAGGCAGCTGGCTGGATATCTTCTAGACAAAGCGTCAGGTGATATGGAGGTGAGAGTTGCAGATATAATAGATAAAGCTCCTTACTTATCAATTGTATCAGATGGCTGGAGCAACATTAGAAACGAGAGTATTATTAATTTATGGTGATGACGCCTGTTCCAGTGTTCTACAAATTTCTAAATACTGAGGAAAATCGCCATACGGCAGATTATATTGCCCAGGAATTTAAAAATGTAATTCATGAATTGAATCCGGTAAAAGTATATTCTTTAGTTACTGATAATGCCGTTAACATGAAAGCAGCCTGGAGAATTCTAAAATCTGAATCTATTTATAATCATATACAATGTTATGGTTGTGCAGCGCATACATTGCAGTTATTCTTTCACGATTTTGAACGATTGAACGCCTTCAGTGACCATATTTCAATAATTAAAAAAATTGTTAAATTTTTCAAGAATAAACACATACCAGCTGCAGTATTTTCCCGT